GTTTATGGGGATTGTCAGCATTCCTACAGAGTGATTGCCTTAGAAATGACGTCAAGATGAGTAAAAATAATACTGCCTAACTTTCTGTCTTCTAATGTATCTGTTGTAAGACTGGACACATAATGACTGCAAAAATATACTGTAAAAAGTCCATAACATTTGGAATCACAAGACCTATTCTAGCCATGCGGCTTTAGGCAAATTACCCAGCCTTATTAAATACTTCATTTAATAAATGAAAATAATACTAACTGCACCATTATTCTTTTTTAAAATTAGTGCAAGAACACAATAAAAAAAAAATACATGAAGGTTGGGTGCAGTGGCTCATACCTGTAATCCTAGCACTTTGGGAGGCAAAGACAGGTGGATCACCTGAGACCAGGAGTTCAAGACCAGCCTGGCCAACATGGTGAAACCATGTCTCTACTAAAAATACTAAAATTAGCTGGGCATGGTAGTGCATGCCTGTAATCCCAGCCACTTGGGAGGCTGAGACAGGAGGATCGCTTGAGCCTGGGAGGCGGAGTTTGCAGTGAGCCAAGATCATGCCACTGCACTCCAGCCTGAGTGACAGAGCAAGACTCTGTTTCAGAAAAAAAAAAAAAAAAATGAAAATAATATAATTAGCAAAGGCCTATATAGATACTGGTTAATTTCACCATTATCAGAATAATATTTCAGGTTAGTAAATACATAGTTATGGTTAATAAATCTATAATGATTGAATGGGATTTATTCATGACAAGATCTACAATGACAGAATCCCCCAACTGACTCGATGAGGCTTACAGATGTAAAAGCAGATTATTCACATGACTAGAGACCACCTACGGAAAGCGGCCCAAGGAAATTTTTCAAGGTACAAGAACAAAGCTGTTGATTACAACCAATCTCAGAATTTGACTCTGGTTTTGCTAATTGCTAAGGCAAAAGGGAGTGGCCATGTATTCGCTATTATTTGAGATTCAAAGAACAAAATATGTTTGCTTCTCTTACTTGATTCTTTTACATGAAGGTATCTTTCTCAGTCCCAAATTATCTGCATAAATGACCACTTTTCTGCAAAGGCAGATGAGCAAATGAGTGCTATTTATAGTAGAATCATATAGTAAACAAAGGAGACATTGTATGATTAGCTCTTCAAATGGCTACAGAGATGTGTAAATAAAATGGTTAAAACATATACCTGATGGATTATAAATCATTCTACTATAAAGACACGTGCACACATATGTTTATTGCAGCACTATTCACAATATCAAAGACTTGGAACCAACTCAAATGCCCATCAATGATAGACTGGATAAATAAAATGTGACACATAAACCCCATGGAATACTATGCAGCCATAAAAAAAGGATGAGTTCACGTCCTTTGCAGGGACATGGATGAAGCTGGAAATCATCATTCTCAGCAAAGTAACACAAGAACAGAAAACCAAACACTGCAAGTTCTAACTCATAAGTGGGAGTTGAACAATGAGAACACATGGACACAGGGAGGGGAACATCACACACGGGGGCCTGTCAGAGGGTGGGGGCCTTGGGGAGGGATAGCATTAGGAGAAGTACCTAATGTAGATGATACATTGACAGTTGCAGCAAACCACCATGGCACATGTATACCTATGTAACAAACCTGCACATTCTGCACAGGTATCCCAAAACTTGAAGTGTATATAAAAAAAAAATTAAAAAAAAAAAAAAAAGGCCAGGCATGGTGGCTCACGCCTGTAATCTCAGCACTTTGGGAGGCCCAGGCAGGCATATCACGAGGTCAGGAGATCGAGACCATCCTGGCTAACACGGTAAAACCCCGTCTCTACTAAAAATACAAAAAACTAGCCGGGCGAGGTGGCGGGCGCCTGTAGTCCCAGCTACTCGGGAGGGTGAGGCAGGAGAATGGCATGAACCCGGGAGGCGGAGCTTGCAGTGAGCTGAGATCATACCACTGCACTCCAGCCTGGGCGACAGAGCAAGACTCCGTCTCAAAAAAATAAAAATATAAATAAATAAATAAATAAATAAGCAAACATATTGCTTAAATTACGCCAAAACATTAAGAACCAGAAAAGTAACATATATGTACACATAAAATATACATATGTATTTATATAAATAAATATATATTTTATATATAATCTTTAGCTGGGAATGCCCAGAACAGGCAAAGAAAAGAAGTAAATGTCTAATGGGGTGTTGGTAGCTATGAGTGCCTTTAAAGCTTTAGAGTTTTGTTGCATTAATTTGCATAACTCTTTCTTATTTAACACCTAATTACATTCCCCTGCAAGCTTGTAAGACTTCTCTCCACTCAATTATTAACCACTACTGAAGTGATATTTTTAAAATCTGGAAACCTAAGGAGAACTAGGTAAAGCCTATCATTAGATGGGCTTCACCAAGAAGTCAAGAATTTTATTTCTTGGTCGTTAGAAACTAAGCTGAGATATTGATATAATTAACTTTCAATATAGCCAAGAAGAACAAGCAAGTATTCTCTGAATAAGTAAAATTAAGCTCATTTTGCAGAGTACTAGGGTTTTTTTCCTTCTTGGGGTTTTTATTTTTTTTCATAATAATTCTTCGTGGTGGTGGTACTAGTAGTGGTAGTAGTAATAGAAGTACCAGACATGCTAGTAATTGTGGTAGCAGTTTCTTATTCACTGTGGTTGTAGCAACCGTAATACTCATAGTAACATAACTTATTTTAATATTCTAGTAACAAAATAATTAAAAACTATATCTGTGACTTATCCATGTTAACAAATTCTTCTATATTTCTACTTAGTTCTTTGGAAACAAGTTGAAATTTCACCCTTGACATCTGATAAATTGTAGATTTGGGGAACAGTTTCCTGATCAAAAGAAACAATAGTTAATGGTTTCTGTCATCTGAAAACTGGGTTATTGAGAGTGGAGAGAAGTTTCTTAGCAAATCTATGAAAGTATATATAGTTTCTTAGCAAATCTATGTAGAAACATTGAGGGGAAAGTATATATATTTTATCTATTTAAATACTAGCAGTAAGTATGAAGTGTCTGAAATCATCAGTGCTCTTACATTTTGCAACAGTGTATTTCTAGGGATTGCTGGTGGTGTTCTTACAAAGTTGTCTTGGAGAATGGATTTTATACTTATGTAAAATTATCTTCCTTCCTTGAATAACTGACCTCCATCCTCCAAGTTAAGCAGTTTCTTCTGTTTGTACTTGGAGAATATAAAGAAGAGAAATAACCTGCTTGGAGCTGTTTTCTCGGAAATAACACTTTCAGCGTCTAATTCAAACATTTCCCTTAAGAGATGGTATCTATAGAATTTTCGTATTCATTTTAATGATAAATTATAAATGCATGCTGGTGAGGATAGGAGAAAAAATAGAGACCCCGGAAAACAGTTACTCTTCATGTTTATAATGTTAAGGATGTGATATTGCACTTTGATATTAGGAGTATGACTGAAAATCTAGAAGGAAGTATAATAAAAGCAATGACCTTATCACCATAATATTTTTAATACACTTCAGCTCGGTGAAATTACAAATGTACGAAATTCTGCTTAAAGCATCAGGTATTTATTTTGAAAGATAGTGCTTGATAAATAAGAAACAATAAGTCATATAAGAAACAAGAAGTCATGATGATAAAAGTACACATTGAATATTTTTCCAGTTAAAATATTTTTTAAGATGAATAGCTAGAGTTCAATTATGCTTTTGATGAAATGTTAAAAGGTAGTCAAAGGAAAGAAGATATTCCCAAAAAGAGAGAAATTAATTTCTAAGTAAATAGCTACAGGTTTAATTCTGTAATATCTTACCTAGACATCACAGTTTGGAATTTGAAACAATGAAGACCACAATCTGCCAATGAAATATTTATTCAGACCATAAAATGAGTTATCAAAGTTTAACATTTTTTGAGCTTTAAATATCATTATCTTATTAATATAAAATGATTTATATTAGTGCCGGGTATCTAATTAACTCATGACTGCCCAAACATTACAATTGCATTGTCACAAATAATTTGCTTTGCATTTTATTTGTATGTGTGCATTTGCATATGTATCTCAATTGTGTATTTCTTAGATTAATATTAAAATTAGTTAGCAATCCCTGAGCTGACTCTCCTTTCAGGCAGCTAAAGACTTTGAAGGCAAGAAGCCAGCACAGGATTAACAATTTGTCATGGATAATCCACAAAGTAAATAAACCTACTGTGAATAATAGAAAGGGAGTTAGACTTGTAACATAGGAGCTATTGAAAGTTAATTCAAAGCCAAAGTCCTCCATAGTAAATTCCTTCTCATTATCCAACTGCTAGAATAGACTGGCATTGATTAAATCTCTAAATAGGGAGGCATTTGTGCATTGTCAATGTTTTACCACCTTATCTGTAAACATATAGACTTTATCTTCTTGATAGCATGCTGATAATGTAGAGGCTTGAGCAAACCAAGAATGTGGAAACTTCACCATGGGTGTTTAGCCCCCTTTCAACTATCAAGTAAAAAAAAAAGATCAAAACATTTTCTGCATTGTACCAGATGTCATTTCTAAAATTCCTATGCTGAGATGGTAGCTTAAATAAATATCATGAAAATGAATTCACTCATTAAAAGGACTTGTGTGGTAAGCTAGTGTTAAAATAACAAGGGATTAATAACAGCAAATTGAATATTTGAATTACTTATAATGCTGTGTTAGCATTTTTAGCCTAATAATCTCATCCAGATAATAGTCACTTTTCCCCCAATTAAAATTGTACATGTTATAGATTTTGGATTTGCAAGGTTCTACCAAATTATACAAGAATTTGTTACTTAATCCAGACCAAGTATTGTTAATAAGATACTAAGATATTAAATACGTTCCTTTTTTTCCAGCTACCATGACATTTTATTTTCATAATACGACTGTAATTGAGTTTGTAGTATTTTAATCATAATTTTATATGGGCTTTTTCTGAATATGTTTCCTATTTTTCTAATTCTAGGTTTCATATACACTGGAGAAGTTGTACATCGAATGCTAACAGCCACACAGTACATAGCACCTTTAATGGCAAATTTTGATCCCAGTGTATCCAGAAATTCAACTGTCAGATATTTTGATAATGGTATGTATTGAATAGCCTATTTTTTGCTGCATGTGTATTTTGAAACCTCAAGCATCAGATTCCTGTTAATGTTTTTCTTAATTGTTTATTTTTTGGTGTGTAAACTGCTTGATGCAAATGGTCTGAGATGACAAATGTTATTCTGCTAAGATTTATAAAGTACACAAATGGCATTCATTCATTCATTCAACACGTTTATTAACATCTACTGTACATAATAAAAATGAGTTGCTGTAGACAAGACCTCAGACAAAGCAAATGCATTTATTTGATGCTATTTCAATAAGTCAGTTTTCCAGTTTTCCCATCCGAAAAAATAGAAATAAGAATAATTTTGTTAGTTCTGATTTTCCAGTAGAGAGAGGTGGCATATATTGACATTAAATTTCCAGAACTTATGACTTGTATGTATCCATAAGATGAACACATATTTTAAAAAGTATAAAGTAGTTAGTTGTGGGTAGTTCAACTTAAGAAAATAAGGTTTTCTTGACTTTAAAAAATGAGTGAGAGCCTGTTAAGATTTATCAAATATACCAAGAGCAATATATACCTGCTATTACTATTTTGGGACATATAAAATAGAGAAAAAACTGGAATATATCATTAAGTGCTGCCAAAATCCAAGCAAGAAATTCAAGGCGTTGGAGACCTAAATGAGTTTTCATCTCAACATCTTATTGAAAGCTGTAACTTTGGTAGAGAAAATAAATTATAAGTAACAAAGAGTTTATATTTGAACAATTAATTAAGTATAGAATTTTCTGTGTATTTAACGTTCACAAATGATACTTATTTGTTCAAATGACAATTTTATGCCTGCAAATAATACAAGCAATTGGGGTGAACAGAGTTATTTCTACTCTTGTCTTATTTGTGATGATCAAGGAAGAAATTTGCTCATGGTTGGAATAGACTTGATGGTAGCTGTAGCCTTGGAGAAATACGATCATTTTGCTCAGAGCAATCTCCTGACCAGTGTGATGAAAGCCATTTTACAGGTCGAAATAGCACAATGAAGAAACTAAACATAGTTAGATATTCACCTTAGGAAATACACTTTGAACAACTTGAGTAACACCAAGGTATGATCCAATATGAAGTAACTCTGAATGTTAGCTGTAATAATGATTCATCTCTATTATTTTAAGAACTATTATATTCTCTTCCATTTTTTAAAAACTCATGAGGTGCTAACACCCAAGGATGTGCAAGTAGACTGTAAATACAGTGTTCTTGAGGCAAAACTGCAGCCAGAAACTTATCTGAAACTTGCTCTATCATTCCAATACAAAATTGCCTTGGGAATCTATCCTATGGAAATAATAAAAGATTTAGTGAACATTGACAATTTTCCAAGCTCCGACATTCACTAGGTGATATTAGGGTCATTTACTCATGGGCACATGATTCTAATGACCAAGACTTTATACTGTCGCTATCAAAATCATAAGGCATATTAAATAAGTCTCTCTACATATATTCTCATATACCTTGTTCCTAGGTAGCTCTTAATATTTGAATTTTACTTGCATTTGAGTGATTGTTAAAAATTGATGTATACTACTCCAACTGAACTCTAGGTTCTTTAAAAACAAAACTGTGGCTATTTATAAGAAATCATTTTATCTCCAGTATCCTGTATAGATACTTAATAGGCTGTAGATCCTAAATAATTATTCAATGAATGAATAAAAATAATTACATATGTAAACTGAGTTTTTTTTTTTGGGAATTGTCAAAGTATTAATACTCAAGAAAGCATGTATTTTTTACCCATTGAAATACCTTCTGTGTAATGACTTATTCCATAGGAATCTAATATTGAGGAACATTGAGTTCAAACAATATGATAATGAAAGCTTGTGTTTTATTGAATGAATGAAACACTTTTAAATACTGTAAGGCTCTTCACAAAGCCCTTTTAATACCACAACAACTTGCTGAAATATTTTCAAGTTTGGCTAGAATCACTGACAGGATACTTAAAGATTGGAAATTCAACAATTTAGGAAAGCAGACTTCTCTAGAGAAGACAGCAGCAGGTTAGAAAATTTAAATCAGCAAATGTTGAGAGAGCTATGCTATTACATAATATAAAATTTAGCATGTGCAAACAGTATGCCTTTTTTTTTTTTTTTTTTTTTTTTGAGACGGAGTCGCGCCCTGTCTCCTTCTGTTACCCAGGCTGGAGTGCAGTGGTGCGATCTCGGCCCACTGCAAGCTCTGCTTCCCGGGTTCACGTCATTCTCCTGCCTCAGCCTCCCGAATAGCTGGGACTACAGGCACCCGCTACCACGCCCGGCTCTTTTTTTTTTTTTAATTATTATTTTCAGTAGAGACGGGGTTCACCGTGTTAGCCAGGATAGTCTCGATCTCCTGATCCCTGATGCACCCGCTTCGGCCTCCCAAAGTGCTGGGATTACAGGCGCATGACCCACCGCGCTGGGCCAACAGTGTGCTTTTTAGCAACCTGCTACTAACAAAATATTGGGAATCTCTCCCTCAGAATTTGCATTAAAAACTTTAATTTATATAGCCCTCTTATTTTCATAAATAGTCAAGGGTAACTATATTTTCTTGTATTTAATGCAGGAATCGCTTGAAGGCAAAAACTGTACTCCCCATGTTACAGGAAAGGAAACGGTTTCATGCAGATTAATTGTGTCCAAGTTCACATGGAAAGTTTTATAGAGACAAGGTGCGAGTTTAAGTCTTCTGCCCTCTGGTTCATTGTTTTCACTGCATCACCAGAGTGCGATAGAAGCTAGAGGATAAGGGAGAGACTAGAGCTTGAGGGTTGTAGACATGTGTGAAGGAAAAAGAAGCTAGGAGGCGTTTCACAATTAGAAAATTCCTATACTTATAAAATCATGGGAAGTTTCCTGGCTATTGTCTTCTTGCTCTTTCCTTTTCTTTTTTCTTTTCTTTTCTTTTCTCTTCCTTCCTTCTTTCTTTTCTTTTCCCTTCCTCCCTTCCTCCTTTCCTCCCTTCCTCCCTTCCTTCCTCTTCTTTCTCTCTTTCTTTCTCTCTTTCTTTCTCTCTTTCTTTCTTTCTTTCTTTCTTTCTTTCTTTCTTTCTTTCTTTCTTTCTTTCTTTCTTTCTTTCTTTCTTTCTTTCTTTCTTTCTTTTCTTTTTCTTTCTTTCTTCTTTTCTTCTCTTTCCTTTAGTTCCTTCCTTCCTTCCTTCCTTCCTTCCTTCCTTCCTTCCTTCCTTCCTTCCTTCCTTCCTTCCTTCCCTCTTCCTTCAGGACAATATATCCTTCCTTCCTTCCTTCCTTCCTTCCTTCCTTCCTTCCTTCCTTCCCTCCTTCCTTCCAGGACAATATAGACACAGAGATGCCCGTGGAAGGAAGAGAGCTGGGTGGTCTTCACTCATAGCAGTGATAATGGCTAAAAGCACCAAGGTCAAGTTAAAAAACTTTTTTTTTCTTTTCTACTTTTAAAGTTTTGCCTCAAAGTACATTTCTATACTTCAACATCCTTTCAGGGCTTACAATTGAATATTCAAAATATTTGAAATAAAGTGTCTATTTAAAGCTGTCAGCTATCTCAAGAGATATTACTAATAGCACCAAATAATTACTGAAAAATAATTCTTCCATGCAGTTGTAATTTTTAAATACATCAGATATTTATTGCTGGGAGATAAGATTTGCTCTTTTAGTTCTATGATTTTCATTTTCAACACAGCTTTTTTGGGCAATAATTTTTTTTTAACCAAACAGAAAAATCTAACAGAGTGAAGAAAAAGTCTTAGCAGCTCTTTTCTTTTTTAAAAAAGAGAATACACAATGTCAGTTAAAACAAAAATGTGAATTCTCACTGGTAACTATTAAACTGTTTCAGTTTTTATTTCATGTCAATTGTTTATAGTAAACACTGACAGAGTGAGTTGGAATGTAATATACGGCACTGAAGTTTCATCCCAGTGTGCTTCAAGAGGCTTCGAAATCTTAGCCCAGGGCCTTTTGAGCTTCTTGCAGCCTCCTGGAAGAAACACAGCAAAGACAGAAACACAAGCGTTGTGAACTCATGGAGAAAATTCCCGTCAGTGTTAAAGGAACTCCTTCAATATGGAAAAGTGTATTTCTAAGTATGGAAAAACATTTTCAGGTCTTTTGTACATGGTCCTAACTTTTTTAATTTTTTTTTTTCTCTCTCAGCATTTGTCAAATGTATTTGAAGTACATTCAATCCACTTGGGCTGCATTTTGAAAGTGGCTTATGGAAATTTAAGCAGACAGTATCTATTAACATTAGATTAATAAAATTCCAAAGGCAAAATTCCCCCACACTGTGTTAGCTCAAGTATTGACCTTAGTATGAGGTTATATTTTACTAAATATTTAGAGACTACTCAATCCTTTAAAGAAATTCCAAATACTATTTCAATAACAGAATTTGATTAACCACAAAAAATTGAAATCGTACAATCACCAGATTTGAAGGCTAGATGCAAAAACATTTCTGTGAAAACTCCCACCAGAATTGATACGTATGTTTTTCTCATTGCATTTCTTCTTTTTACAATGGGTGTATAGGCACAGCACTTGTGGTCCAGTGGGACCACGTACATCTCCAGGATAATTACAACCTGGGAAGCTTCACCTTCCAGGCAACCCTGCTCATAGATGGACGCATCATCTTCGGATACAAAGAAGTAAGTGACGTATTGATAATTTCTTTCCCTTCCCCTTGTTCTTGACTGCTGCCTTTCCTCGAAGTGTCAAGAAAGGGACATTTTACAGCCATGATCCTCGAATCATTTTCTTGCCTCTTGGTTTCTTTTGCTTAATAAAAAATGTTTTGGTTAGTTTTAATCTTCTGGGTGCATTGATTGTTAGGTCTTTTGTTTTGTTTTCTGATATTGTTGGCATCAGGACCCATCAATTTCATAAAATTATTGAGTAATTATATTGAGTAATTATTGAGTAGAGTGAAATGCATCTCAGAAAAAAACATCCAATTTGGAGGAATTTCTCATCTAAATCTAAATGTTTGTATTTATGTATTTTGTTAGTTTTTTTTTCACCTTGTTGATTTCTGTGTTGTATTTTGGTTCTAATTTCAAAAGCATTTATAGAGACGAAAACTTATGAGACTCAATGACCCAGTACTGAGATAGTTCCAGGAGAGCTGAGCTTACAATCCCTTTGACTTATGTTTATTGAAACTGGATAGGAAAGATAAATTAGAGATCTAAGTGACAGAAAGAACAAGGGAATTTAAACTTATGGTTTGTTTCATTTTAACAAACTGACAAAGTAAAGAATGAAAATTTACTAAATTGTAGCCTTAAATTTACAAAATATTTAGACTAGAATAACTGTGTGTTTGATTTCCAACTCTTTTGACAAAGTAATTAAGACCTGTTGAACTAAGAATATTAAAAATAAAGTTCCAGGAACTACAAATGTAATGTTTTAGATAGTCTCTAATTATGAGAGAAACCTGAACAGTGAGAATTAATAATGAGCATTATTAACCCATAGGTTAATGGATATTTATAATAATACAGATTTGATATCTTATCTTCAACTGAGGGATTACTTTTTCCTTGGGAAATGAATCCCAGATTATAAAAGGGATATTGAGGATCAAGAAAGAATTCACTTTGGTCAAATCTTCTGAAATTCATCTATTCTGTAAAGTGTAGCATAATTTAATTACAATCAAATAGGCCAACTCTAAAATTTATGTCAGATTTATATAGCCCTCTTATTTTTTGTCAGATATGTCAGATATTTCTATTACTGTAAAAACTTTTTAATGAAATTTTTCATTTACTTGGGGCAATTGAGTAAGTAGGATATAATTATAGACTATGTCCTACTTGGTGTTTCTTTGTCCAAGTGTATGGTTGTTGTTTTTTTTTTTTTAATTTTTATTTCAGGTTCAGGAGTACATGTGTAGGTTTGTTATACAGGGAAACACATGCCATGGAGGTTTTGTTGTATAGATTATTTTCTCACCCAGGTACTAAGCCTGGGACTCAATAGTTATTTTTCTTTCTTTCTTTTTTTTGAGATAGAGTTTTACTCCTGTTGCCCGGGTTGAAGTGCAATGGCCGGATCTTGGCTCACCACAACCTCTGCCTCCTGGGTACAAGAGATTCTCCTGCCTCAGCCTCCCTTGTAGCTGGGATTACAGGCATGCACCACCATGCCCAGCTAATTTTTGTATTTTCAGTAGAGATGGAGTTTCTCCATGTTGGTCAGGCTGGTCTTGAACTCCCTACTTCAGGTTATCCTCCCGCCTTGGCCTCCCAAAGTGCTGAGATTACAGGCGTGAGCCACCGCACCCAGCCGATAGTTATTTTTTCTGATCTGCCTCCTCCCACCTTCCACTGTCAAGTAGGCCCCAGTGTCTGTTGTTCCTTTCTTTGTGCCCATGCGTTCTCATCATTTACCTCCCACTTATAAGTGAGAACATGTGGTATTTGGTTTTCCATTCCTGCAATAGTTTGCTAAGGATAATGGCCTCCAACTCTATCCAGGTCCCTGCAGAAGACGTGATCTCATTTCTTTTATGGCCTCATAGTATTCCATGGTGTGTGTGCACCTGATTTTTTTATCCAGTTTATCACTGGTGGCTGTTTAGGCTGATTCCATGTCCTTGCTATTATAAATAGTACTGTAATTAACATACACATGCATGTGTCTTTGTGGCAGAATGATTTATTTATTTTTTTAATTAATAGACTTTATTTTTTAAGAGTAGTTTTAGATTCACAGCAAAATGATGCAGAAAATACAGAGAATTTGAACATACTCTTCTTCCCCTGCTGAACATCCTCCCCCATCATCAGTGTACCCCACCAGAGTGGCACATTTGTTGCAATAGATGAACCTACATTGACATTGATGCATCAATGTCACTCAAAGTTCTTAGATTACATTAGAGTTCCCTCTTGATGCTGAACTTTCTAAGGGTTTTAAGGATGTATAATGTCATGCATCCATCATTATAGTGTCATACAGCATCCTTCCTGCCCTAAAAATTTTCTTTGCTCTACCCAGTTTTTTGTTTCAATAGGTTTTGGGGAAACAGGTGATATTTGGTTACATGGGTTTATATTCCTTTGGTTATATACCCAGTAATGGGATTGCTGGCCTGAATGTAGTTTTACTGGTAAGGTTGTGGAGAAAAGGGAATGCTTATACACTGCTGTTGGGAGTGTAAATTAGTTCAGCCATTGGGGAAAGCAGTTCAGCCATTGGCGATTCCTCAAAGAGCTAAAATCAGGGCTATGTTTTTATATCAGAGCCCATCATATTTTTATGTCACACTCCCTGGACGCTGAGAGAAAAATTCTCAAAAGAACTTATTCATTTCTAGTTTTCATTGCAATCTAGTATATTGCTGGAACTGCACAGTGATGTTTTGAAATGTTTGTTTTCAACGGTTTCAACAAACACTGGTCAAGTTTCTGGAAAGTCGCAAGGTCAGTAAGTGTGAAGACTTAGGTCTCACCAACCGGAGGCTTTGTCAAAACAGAAGTGTGTGTTCTTATTGTGGTTTCGCTTGCTAGTCTTTATTATTTAAAGTGTCATCTTTCTTTACACTGTTCTCAAAGGGTGTCTCACGTTGCAGAGTAACAGTTGATTCTTCCTATTCTCTGGTCTAGGTTGGTATTTTTAAAGGCCTTTTCTTCATTTTAATCAAAGAAAAAAGTTCCGTTATGGTTTTCCTGTTTTGTTATGGGGAATTTCAAGATGACAGGCAAATTTAATGCTTTCTTGATATTCCCAGGCTCTTGTCGTGAAGAATGTCTTCCCTCTGCACTTGGAGTTCAAAGAAGTCGTTTTTACTTTATTATTCACTTTACTTTAATTTGCCTTTCAGTTCTTTCTTTGTTCTAGATAGAAAGCAGTTTCTACTTTTCTAGTCTACCACTTTTTTCTTCCCAATAATTGTTATATATTTTATTTTGCTAAGGCAAATTATTATTTGTAAAATTTGTCATAAGAGAGACCCCTTGCATTTGGGGTGACAGCTAGAAGCTCCTGGTACTGCTAGAAAAATATTCCTAATCACATGATAGCATAAAATAGTAGTTTGTATAATGTATTATCATTTTCAAAGTACTTTCATATGCATTATAGCGTTTAATTCCTCAACAATTTCCTATAGCTTTAATATCCTAAGCATTTTACAATAGCATTGGTACATTGAAGCTGTTCTATAAATGTTTATGACTTAATTATGGAAATAGATCATACATGATTATCTTCATTTTGTAGCTGAGCAAGCTAAGTCAGAGAGATTAAATGACATACTTGAGGTCACAGAGCTAGTTAAGGATAAATCCAGAATTTAATTTGATGATCCCAAGACATCTCAACCATTTTCCCTGCCTAAAGAGATTATGTAAAACAATTCACAAATCTATGTCTCATTTGTTTTTCCAATAAGTATTTCTTAATATTGGCTGTTTAAGAATCTTGCTTGTTAGACTTTGTCATATCACACAATTACAAGTGTAGATAGGAGAGGTATTCCTACTTCATTTGGAGAGCTAACCAAATTCTAAGAACATATAATTACAAGGAGTAAAATGTTCTGTTCCTGTCCAAGCTAAACTTACTGAATTATAGATAGGGAAGTAAGTGTAATTCTTTCTGTAATAAGTTTCTTCTAATAGGCTAACACCTGCTTTGTTTTGTTTCATTATGTTTTATGTGAATAAGAAGAAAAATTCTGATTTACACAAAACCCACCACCAATTTGGGACTTGTTTTAAAATTGTAAATTTTAATTACATTTAAATTTTACTTTAAAAGTAGTAATGGATTGAATGAATTCAGTTAGGTAAATTTCATTTTCAATGCCCTCATTCAATTTATCTCAGTATTTAAATGTGCCAACCATGCTAAGCACGTACATGACCTCCAATCCTTTCATGCTGCAAATATTGCCTTTTCTTCAATAGCATAATTTTTTTTGTAGTGCAAACTAAATGATGAATGATCAATAAATAAGAAAATGCATTTACAGTTGTAACAATCTTGTTTAGAGTGGGATTGAAATAGGGAAGTACGACTGCTGCTTAAAATAAGAATGAATACAGATTTGCTCATCATATTCAATGTTTCTTCACCAATACCCTGTTGTTTTCTAAAATCATATTGGAGAGAAGACTTGTGGAGGCATGGATTCCCTTAAATAATTAAGTTATTTTTCCTGAGATTGTAGCTCCTGTGTTGTTTAACTAAAAATTCGAAATTCTGTTTTAAACTATAGGCCCTTATTGTTACACAGCTGTATATTTTAATTAACTTCAAAGATAGAGTTTGCTTAGAATTCAGTCAAAATACAAAAAGAATATTTTTTTAAAGTTCTTTTTCTCAAATTACCAACTGTTCATTATAATGCATTTTTCAATTTTAGAGTATCCAGTTTTTTTAGATAGATTTAATTACCTATGAAATTAACTATATCATCTATTTCCTTGACTATATTAATAACAATTATTTTAAACATTGTGACTAATAACTCCAATATCTACATGTCTTATGGGTCTGTCTCTATCACCTGTTTTCTTTCTATTTCCTGTAGATTTTTATTCATTGGTCATGTTTCTTTGCATGCTAGATGATTTTTTAAATAAAATATTGGACATGGTTTACAAAGTACCAAAGTACTTTGAGGATGTAGATA